CCTGGCTGAGAGACCCTTCATGAGGCCCCAAGGCCCCTCTTCTGCCATCAGCTGTCTGAAAGTCAGTATGATGGAGCTCTTGCCTTCAACCTGCAAAAGTTCACACAATGGTGGATCATTGCTGGCAGTCAAAGCCCCTCTGCTCCGTCTTGCTCTGCCTCAGGTGCCAGACTACAGGGGTTTGGAGTTTGCTCGCTAGCTTACAGTGCAACCCTGGGTAATTAATGCTTTTATACCTTAATATCCTTACATATAAACAGCAGTAGCATTATCTACACCATAAGCTTGGTTTTGTTTTGTTTTGGTACTGGGAATTGAACTGAGGATTTCCACTTGCCAAACAGGTGCTTATGCCTGAGCTATATCCCTGGCCCACGTTGGTTTTTCTTTTTTCTTTTTTTCTTTTTTTTAATGCAGGCTGACCTTGAACTCATACCTTCATGAGGCTGGCCTCGAACTCACAGCAATCCTCCTGCTTCAACCTCCCAAGTGTTGGGATTATAGGCATGTGCCATCACAACTGGTTAATGATGTTGTTGAGGTTGTTTTGAATAAAAAGAAACTAATACTTATTAATGCTGTCATCAGTACCTGGCAAACACTAAGTGTTCAGTGGTACGTGTGTGTGTGTGTGTGTGCGCGCGCGCGCGCGCAGGGTCTCACTACACAGCCCAGACGTATAGTGATCCTCCTGATTTCTTCTGCCTCCCTAGTGCTGGGATTACAGGTGCGCATTACCACACCCAGACTGGTACCTTTTAATATCATTAGCTGAGCTGCTGAGTCTCTGGATTGGGGGCTTCTCACCTCTGATCTCAGGGAGGCTGGGTTTTCTTTGTTTGTTTTTGTTTTGAGTTTATTTATTTAATTATTTATTTTTTTGGTGGTACCGAGGATTGAACTCAGGACCCTGCACTTGCCAGACAGGAGCTTATTCTACTGAGCTATCTCCCTGGCCCTGTTTGTTTTTGTTTTGAGACAAGGTCTTGCTGTGTAGTTCAGATTGGTCTTGAACTCAACATGTAGCCCAGCCTGGGCTCAAATTTGCTGTGTTCCTGCCTCAGCCTCCAAGTACTGCAAAAGTGCCCACGGGTCCTGATGACATCCATGGGGTCATCAGGCGTGCACCACCCCATCTGGCTGGCTGAGGCTCCTTCTTACCCATAGCTCCTCTTATCACCTTACCTCCAGTTTTTGAGACCTCAGAGTAGAGACCTGTTATTTTCCCTGTTCTCCTCCCAGAACACTAGCACAAGGCTCCTGAAAAGAGTAGGGTTGCCAGGCGTGGTGGCACATGCCTGTAATCCCAGCACTTGGGAAGCTGAGGCAGGAGATTTGTTGAGAGTTCAAAGCCAGCCTGGGCTACAGAGTGAGCTCAAGGCCAGCCTGAACTGCACAGTGAGACTCTATCTCCAAAAGACAAAAGGAAAGAAAGAAAACAAAAGAAAAGGAGTGGGGTCTGACCCTGTGCACTTTTGCTGCAAACCATTTAGCCATTCAGATGCCAATGTGATCTTTTTATTTTATTTATTTATTTATTTGGCTGGTTCAGGATGCCTTCAAGGCAGGTCTGGTATGGCTTGAGGATCTAGGGATCAAACCACAGCATTCTGATTACTCTGTTTAAGAAGTCACTTAAACAACTGAGCTAATGGGCAGGCCCCCTTATTTATTTTTTTGAGACAGGGTCCCACTCTGTACTTCAGGCTGGCCCTGAATTCACTATGTAGCCCATGCGGGACTCTAACTCAAGGCAATCCTCGTGCCTCAGTCTCCTGAGTGCTGGGATCAAAAATGTGTGCCTGCACACCATACCCAACAATGTGTTCATTTCAAATGTCAGGGCAACATTCTTTCCTAAGGATAAAAATACTTACGCTTGCTCTATATCTCCTTTGTGACCCTCTGATAGCAGAGAAATTGACTTTATCCCTCACTGGCTCTGTTTATTTTTGTCCGATGGGCTTCTCCCTGTAATTCCAAGCTGGTCTCAAACTTTTGGGCTTCAGTGATCTTCCTGCCTCAGCCTTCCAAGTAGCTGGAACCACAGGTATGCACTACTACACTCAGCTCCCCTATCTACTAAGGTTCTTTTCTTTCCCGCCTTTCCTCACCATTCAGTTAGAATGACCACATGATCCTGTATATTTTCTTTTTTTTTTTTTCTTTTTGGCAGAACCGGGGATTGAACTCAGGCCCTTGCGCTTGCCAGGCAACTGCTTATTCTCCTGAACCATCTCCACAGCCCCCTGATCCTGTATATTTTCTTAATTCTCCTTTTTTCGTAAGCTATCAAAATCCAGCATTAAAATTTCTTTCTTTTTTTTGTGGAACCAGGGATTGAACTCAGGCCCTTGCGCTTGCCAGGCAAGCGCTTATTCTACTGAGCCATCTCCTCAGCCACCAGCATTAAAATTTCCACCCGAAACTTCACACGGTAAAAACATCACTAAGATTCTGTTTGCAGGTGAAAGACAGTCTTTGAGCTGACTGAAGTCAGAGGTTCTCATTTCTGAACAGCACTACCACGGGCACTGTCAGTGTCTCTGCTGAGCCCACACAGCCCAAGCTATGAAAGCTATTTAAAAACATTATTCAGTCTCCGTAGAGAGCCATGCTCTGGCGGAAAAACCAGACTTATGAAATAAGCGGAATCAACACCTCTATGAACCACAAATGTGCAAAATGGGAAAGAGTGGTTTATAGGCTATAGAACAGGATTCCAGGTGACAGCTGGGAAAAACTGTAAGAAATCCTGGAGGTAGGTGCATGTAACAGGGAGAGGTACGTGAGGCAGCAGACAAGTACTCGGCGGTTTTCTGCAGATGGCAAGCATGGCACAGGTCTGGAGGCCTGGGTGGCCTGAAGGCTGACTGGACTAACAGCCAAAGACCCTCTGCCAGTGGCTTCAGCAGGAAGAAGCTGAGAGGGGACCAGTATTACCTGCACACGGGTCCTGATGACATCCATGGGGTTGGTGAGGATGGAGGCAGTGGCCGCAGCCAGGGGCCCGGAGATGGCTTGAAGGATGATGTGAGGGCACTCCTTAGGGCACAGGTGCGAGAGCTGCTCTGGAACCCAGGGAAAGACAATGCCTCAAGACGTGAGAACCACCGTCCGCTCTCCCTACACCCACGGCTTCTGCTCACTGCGCTCCTTTACCTTAGACCTGTAACTCCTAGCCTTCCTATTTCCACCTGTACCCACCAAAAAATATTACTTCAGGCCCCTCCCAGGAGTCATCTTGGTGACATTACCCATTTAAACAAGACAAGAGCCTTTGGGAAAGGGGATGTCAAAGCCTCTGCTTTCTGACTCCTTCATCCAATGGACAGAAAAATCCTTCCTGGCGTAAAAACTGTATGCCTGGGCCAGGGAGATGGCTCAGTGGAGTAAGCGCTTCCCTGACAAGCGCAAGGGCCTGAGTTCAATCCCCAGTTCCGCAAAAAAAAAAAAAAAAAAAAAAAAAAAAAAAAAAAAAAAAAACATATGCCTCTTGCTCTGCTCCTCACAACTCATGGGCTGCAGAAGTACACACTGCATATATGCTTACTTATGCACTGCAAAAGTGTGCTGGGATATGTTAAAAACTGACAGGGCCAGCCAGGTTTGATCCCCAGGTCTGCCATGCCAGCTCCGCCCCCCAGGTCTCAGGGGATGGTGAATGAGACTGGGCATGGTGGTGTGCGCCTGAAATCCCAGCTCTTGGGAGGCTGTAAACAGGCAGATCACTACCAGTCTGATCTAATAGTGAGACCCTGAACACCCTGTAGACCCTTCCCTAAAAACACAAAAACAAAACAAAATATAAAAAACCTGTGACAATGTCTGTCCCCATGGAACTTGGGGACTGCTGTGGGCAGAGGCCTCTTCGTTGCACGCCATATACCACATACCTTTCCCTAGCTTTCAAATTGGGGACCATGTGAATGTTTTCATAAATGAAACGATTAATATTAAAGTAGAAAGTCTTAAAAAAAAAAAAAA